CTTCAGCCCCCTCTAGTCACATCCCTGCTGGCGGCCACTGGAGTTCACAACCGAGGCCGGGAAGCCCGGTAACTGGTTTCCGTTCACATGCCTGGGTGGGTGGGAGGCAGAGTGGGACTGGGAGATTCCTGATCACTGCCTCCTCTCACCTTTTCTTTTTCTCCCTCCTGCCTAGGACACAGAAAGGAGCTGGAGGAGCTGCACAGCTTTATTTGACAGGGCTACAGGACTTGTGAGAAGGGAGAAGCCGTGGACGTGGTATGTCTAGACTTTAGGAAGGTGATTGATCCTGTCTCCCATTAACAAACTCTGGAAATACAACCTAGGTTGGATAATCATGCTGAGAGAGTAGTTACCAATGGTTCACAGTCATGCTGAAAGGACATAGCAGACGGGATTCTGCAGGGATCCAGTCTGGATCTGCTTTTGTTCAGTATCTTCAGTTATTTAAATAATGGCCTAGAGAGTACACTTACAAAGTTCATGGATGGTACCAAGTTGGAAGGGGTTGCAAGTGCTTTGTGTACTTCAAAATGACCTGGACAAATTGGAGAATGGTAGAAGGGAGAACAACAAAATAAAGACAGTGGATTTCAGGAAGGCAAGACTTCAGTAAACTCAGAGAGCTGGTAAGTAAGGTCCCATGGGAAGTAGGACTAAGAGAAAAAACAACTGAAGACAGTTGGTAGTTTTTCAAAGGGACATTATTAAGGGCCCAAACGCAAATTATTCTACTGTGTAGATGTGTCAAGGGACCATCTTAGCCTAACCAGGAGATCTTATATGATCTAAAAATAAAAAAAAGAGTTGTATTAAAAAGTAGAAACTAGGTCAAATTACAAAGAATGAATATAGGGAAATAAGTATGTAAGGGGAAGATTAGAAAGGCGAAGGCACAAAATGAGCTGTCTAGCCAGGGACATAAAGGGTAACAAGAAAACATTTTGTAAATACTGAAGAAGCAAGAAGAAGACCAAGCACAGGAAAAGTCCATTGCTCAATTTGGAGAGGAAAGACAATAACAGAAAACCTGGAAATGGCGGAAGTGGTTAACGACTTCTTTGTTTTAGTTTTCACCAAAAAGATTGATGGTGACTGGATTCCTAGTATTCATTATGTTAGTGGCATTGGGGTAGGTTTAGAACTTAAAATAGGAAAAGAACAAGTTAAAATTATGTAGAAAAGTTAGATGTCCTCAAGTCTCTAGAGTCTGATGAAATGCATCCTAGAATACTCAAGGAGCTAATAGAGGAAGTATCTGAGCCATTAACTACCCTCTTTGAAAAGTTACGGAAGTGGGGAGATAGTCCAGAAGGCTGGAAAAGGGCAAATATAGTGCCAGTTAAGGATGTTAAGGACTAGTCGGCTACCCGATAAGCAAATGCTTGTTGGATAGTTGAGTCGACTAGTCGCTTCCCTCCTTCGCCCCCCCCCTTGCTTCCTCTATCAGATAAAGGCAGCAAAGGGTGGGGGGAAGAGAGGGTACTTCAAAGAGGTGGCACCACACTGAGCCCGGGGCAAGCTCCGCACAGCTGATCCCGGGCCCCTTTGAAATTCTGCAGTGGTGTTTCAAAATGGCAACACCTCATGGCGCTGACCCTGGGCTCCGTGTGAAGCTATCCCTTTGAAAAATCATGGCGGCTTTTCAAAGGGGCAGCACCGCATGAAGCCTGCGGTCAGCTGGGGACTCCATCTGATCCCAGGCTGCATCTGACACTTCCCCTTGGAAGTGCTGCAGCGGTGTCGCCCTATCGACTAATCGAATAGTCGATGCAAAAATGCATCCGCTATTTGATAAGTGAATTACATTAAACTTAACATCCTTAGTGCCAATCTATAAAAAGGGAAATAAAAACAACCCAGGAAACTATAGCCCAGTCAGCTTAACTTTTGTGCCAGGAAAGATAATGAAGTGAATAATTAAGGAATTCATCCTCAAAACCTTTTACCTTATTATCTTCCAGATAACTGCCAGCATGGCTTTGTTAAATCATGACTGGTGTGAAAAAAGTGAATAAGGAAAAGTTATTTGCTTGTTCTCATAACAGAAGAATTAGGGGTCACCAAATAAAATTAATAGGTAGCAGGTTTAAAATGTAAAAAGGAAGTTTTTCTTTGCACCTTACACAGTCAACCTGTGGAACTCCTTGCCAGAAGATGTTGTGAAGACCAGGACTTTAAGGGTGTGTCTACGCTATGGGATAAGATTGAATTAAGGTACACAACTTCAGCTACATTAATTGCATAGTTGAAGTACCTTAACTCAACTTTTGGTGCTGTCCACACTGCAGGAAGTTGAAGGGAGAGTGTTTTCCATTTGACTTCCCTTAATCCTCATGGAAGAAGGACTAACGGCATTTACTGGAGTGGCCCTCTCAGTTCCAGTTAGCGTGTCTTCATTAGACCCGCTAATTCAAACTCTGGAAGATAGACAGTAGTAGCTTCGATCCCCTAATGGGGTTCAGAAAAGAACTAGATAAATCTGTGAAGGCTAGGTCCATCAATGGCTATTAGCCAGGATGGGTAGGAATGGTGTTCCTAACCTCTGCTTGTCAGAACAACCCAGGAAACTACAGACCAGTCAGTTTAACTTCTGTGCCAGGAAAGATAATGGAGCAAATAATTAAGGAAATCATCTGCAAACATTTGGAAGATAAGGTGATAGGGAACAGCCAGCATGGATTTGTAAAGAACAAATCATGCCAAACCAATCTGATAGCTTTCTTTGATAGGATAACAAGTCTTGTGGATAAGGGAGAAGCGGTGGACGTGGTATACCTAGACTTTAGTAAGGCATTTGATATGGTCCCGTATGATATTCTTATCAATAAACTAGGCAAATACAACTTAGATGGGGCAACTATAAGGTGGGTACATAACTGGCTGGATAACTGCTCTCAGAGAGCAGTTATTAACAGTTCGCAATCCTGCTGGAAGAGCATAGCAAGTGGGGTTTCTTAGGGGGTCATTCATGGGACTGCTTCTATTCAATATCTTCAACAATGATTTAGATATTGGCACAGAAAGTATTCTTACTAAGTTAGCAGATGATACCAAGCTGGGAGGGGTTTCAAGTGCTTTGGAGAATAGGGTCATAATTCAAAATGATCTAGACAAACTGAAGAAATGGTCTGAGGTAAATAGGATGAAGTTTAATAAGGACAAATGCAAAGTACTCTACTTAGGAAGGAACAATCATTTTCACACATACAGAATGGGAAATGACTGTCTAAGAAAGAGAACTGCAGAAAGGGATCTTGGGATTATAGTGATCCACAAACTAAATATGATAACAACAAACCTACAGTCCCTATCTTGTACGTAACCCGGGGACTGCCTGTATATACATAACTTTCAATAGGACCTTCAGGGGGTAGCCGAGTTAGTCTGTTACAGAAAAAAAAACAGCAAGCAAATGGTCTTGTAGCACTTTATAGACTAACAAAACATGTAGATGGTATCATGAGCTTTCGTGGGCACAGCCCACTTGCTTCAATAATCTGTGGCTATTTTACTTTATTTCTTTAGCGCCCAGCAAATCTGCAGATATTCACTTTGGCTACGTCTACACTGGCCCCTTTTCCGGAAGGGGCATGTAAATTTCACTAGTCGTCGTAGGGAAATCCGCGGGGGATTTAAATATCCCCCGCGGCATTTAAATAAAAATGTCCGCCGCTTTTTTCCGGCTTTTAAAAAAGCCGGAAAAGAGCGTCTAGACTGGCCCCGATCCTCTGGAAAAAGTGCCCTTTTCCAGAGGGTCTTATTCCTCCTTTTCCGGAGGCCAGTGTAGACGCTCTTTTCCGGCTTTTTTAAAAGCCAGAAAAAAGCGGCGGACATTTTTATTTAAATGCCGCGGGGGATATTTAAATCCCCCGCGGATTTCCCTACGACGACTGGTGAAATTTACATGCCCCTTCCGGAAAAGGGGCCAGTGTAGACGTAGCCAAGAAGTAATTGTTCCATTGTATGCCTCAACTGGAGTGTTGTCTCCTGTTCTGGGCACTACATTTCAAGAAAGATGTAGAGAAATTGGAGAAGGTCCAGAGAAGAGTAATAAAAATGATGAAAGATCTAGAAAATGTGACCTGTGAGGGAAAACTGAAAGAAATGGATTTGGTTAGTTTAGAAAAGAGAAGACTGAGAGGGGACATGATAGCAGTTTTCAATTACCTAAAAGGGTGTTACAAGGAGGAAAGAGAATAGTTGTTTTCCTTGGCCTTTGATGATAGGACAAGAAACAAGGGGCTTAAATTGCAGCAAGGGAGGTTTAGATTGGACATTAGAAAAAACTTCCTAACTGTCAAAGTGGTTAAAGCTCTGGAATAAATTGCCTATGGAAGTTGTGGAATCTCTAAACCTGGAGATATTTAAAAGCAGGTTGGATAGACATCTGTCAGGGATGAGCGAAATGGTACATGGTCCTGCCATGAGGGCAGAGGACTGGACTTGACCTCTCAAGGTTCCTTCCAGTTCTAATATTCTATGATTCTGCGCTGCTTGCATACCATAGGTATCCCGGAAAAACTCTGCCATGTCCAAGGAACGCGTCTGCTCTTCCAAATTTTTTTTGGAAGAGCAGATGTATCCCTGTAAACCTCATTTTACGAGGAAGAAGGGATGTTCCAAAAAAAGGTTTTTTCCTGACATTTGGCCCATTGTAGGTGGGCCAAATGTTGGAAAAGCCTCTTCTGAAAAAAAGCGGAAAAAGCTATGCAAATTTTGGTATCTTTTTCCGGAAGAACTGTGTAGTCTAGATACAGCCTAAAGCTTGCTTCGTTCAGCTTATTCCAGTGTGGGAACCTCCTGATTGGATACTTAGGCTATTTTGCTAGTATTGCAGCCAGAGTCGATGGGCAGGCAATGCTAATTAGTGTTAGGCTTCTTCATTATTTTCCCTGCTTCCGCTAATAGCTGAGGCTTCTGACTTACTGCAGGGCAATTATCCTTTTCCTGAATTATCTATATACCATTCTTTGATCCTCAGATGGAGGCAGGAGACCGGGAGATGGGCAGCATGAAACTGCAGACATTACAGTTACTACCTGATGAGCAAGTAGCGACACTACGTCAGCAGATGGTGGAAAGCCAGGCAGCCTATCAACGCAAGCTGCAGAGCTCCCAGGAGGCACAACATAGGCAGGCAGTGCTTGTGCAGAAACTACAAGGAAAGGTAAAGCAAAAGCATAGCCATGAGTATCCCAACAGGGAAGCAGTGGGTCAGGAGTGAGGGGCTTTGGTAGACATGTGGGAAGATCAGGAGTGGAAGAGAAAGAGGTGTTGTGCATCAGGAGGGAAGTCCACCACTGAAACTGATAGCTAGTTTTCTTCTGGAGTCTCTTTACATGTGGAGAGGCCAAAAAGGAGAAAAAGTAAGGGTAGAAAGTGCAAACATGGCAGAAAAGTGATGAAGGGGGAAGAAATTAAAACAAAATCACTAACAAGGTGAATGAGATGTCAACAGTGCTGATGGACTGGATTTAAATCAAGTTTCCCACTACTACTTCACATTTCTTCAATCAGTGATGCAAATCTGATAACCAAAATGTGTTAATTTACAGCTCAGTACAGCATTTTGTAACATCTAAGAAGGCATACTTTATGTAATTTTGATGTATAATTTGATTTTTTTAAAATTAATTTAGTAAATAACACATAATACTTATTACCTGTATCAAGCTGCAGATGCAGCAGCAGTACCTTAGTAATGGTAAAAACTAAATCATACACACAAACACAATAGCACGTATATTTTATTAAACTGCATTTCTGAGGTGGGGAGGCTACTCTTCAGGGGAGAGGGATGCCTGTCCCCCCTACTCTCCGGAGGTCAGGGGGGAAGCAGCCAGAAGGAGCAGGGTTACCAGGAGACTCTGTCTCCCACCTTCATCCTTCACTGAAGATGCTTCGGAGATGCTTTGCAAGTTCTTTGGAAAGACTTTGGAGTACTATATGGTGTATGAGGACCTGGCTGTGACTCAACAATGTGCTTTTGTTGCCAAGAAGGCTAATGGCATATTGGACTGCATTAGTAGAAGATGGCAAGAAGTGATTATTCCCCTCTATTTGGCACTGGTGAGGCCACATTTGGAGTACTGTGTCCAGTTTTGGGCCTCCCATATCAGAAAGGATGTGGGCAAATTGGAGAGTATCCAGTGGAGGGTAACAGAAATGGTAAGGAGTTGGGTGACACATGATTTATGAGGAGAGGCCTCATGATTTATGATGGAGCTGGGCCTATTTAATGTACAAAAGAGGAGGGTGAGATGGGATTTGATTGTATCCTTAACTATCTGAAAGTGGGTTCCAAAAAGGATGGAGTGAGGCTGTTTTCAGTGGTGGCGGATGACAACAAGGAGCAATCGTCTCAAATTGCAGTGGGAGATCTGGGTTGGATGTTAGGAAAAACGGTTACAGTAGGAGGCAGGGCTGGATTAAGGGGGGGGCTAGCCGGGCAGCTGCCCGGGGTGCCAACCTATGGGGGCGCCTGATTGAAGTGGTAAGGGGCGCCGCATCAGGCGCCCCCCCATAAGTTGTCACCCGGGGGCCTGATGTGGCGCCCCCATGCATGTCAATCAGTTGCCCCAGGGGCGCGGCATCCCGTACACGTCAATCAGGTGCCGCGCGCCCAGGATGGGGCTGTGCATGTGCTGCCCGCCCGCTGCCTGGGGCGCATGAATGGCTCAGGCCGGCCCTGGTAGGAGGGTGGTGACGCACATGAATGGGTTATCTGGGGAGGTGATGGAATCTCCATCCTTAGAGGTTTTTTAAAGCCAGGGTTGACAAAGCCCTGGCTGGGATGATTTAGCTGAAGTTGGTCCTGCTTTGAGCAGGGGGTTAGTTTAACTAACCTTCTGAGGTCTCTTCCAACCCTAATTTTCTATGCTTTGAGTATAGGTTTGTAATTAAAAAAGATATTGCCAAATAGATGAAATGGTCTGAAGAAAATAGGATGAAATTCAATAAAGACAAATGCGAAGTACTCCACTTAGGAAGGAACAGTCAATTGTACATTTACAAAATGGGAAATGACTGCCTAGGAAGGAGTACGGCAGAAAGGGATCTGGGGGTTATAGTGGATCACATGCTAAATATGAGTCAACAATGTAGGACTGTTGCAAAAAAAGCAAATGTAATTCTGGGATGTATTAGTAATGACTCATACTCATTCTCCTTGTCTGTCCAGGTGTTACAGTACCGGAGTTGGTGTCGGGAGCTGCAACAGAGGCTGGAAATAGAAAGAGGGGTGAGTTGTGCAGGTAGCTGCCTGAGAAAGGAGGTGCAGAGGCAGTTAATATTGATATAAGACCCAAGAAGGAAATACGTTTCTACTGGCATTAAAGTTTAAAAGACATTATATATTTTTCCTATGGTACTTTTTCAATCTCTGCCACCAGAGTAGTTTCTTGTATCATTTCCAAAAGTCCTACTAAGCAGAGTGTTAATTTTATAAAGGAACAGTTGAATTATAATGTTGTGGGTCCCCCTCCCTGCATAGCCTTGAGTGGGCAGAACTGTTGATCTAGCTCTACTATCTCAGAACAGGAATGGTCACATCCTAGGGCTTATGACATTTAGATCTTCAACATGTGGCTTGCTCTGGCTACTTTTGCTTAGTGGCAAAGAGGGAGTGCACATTCCTGGGTCTCAAGCCTAATTAGCTTTCCTCCCCAATAGCACTATCTGCCCCTGCGCTGGCTGGCTAGTTGTGTGCTGCACAAATAAACAGGAACTGTAAGGAACGTGGAACCACACACCAGTTGTGTCCCATTCTGTTCTGTCATGGCATTCTTGAGGTAGGAGCCCCAAAATCTGTGGTGCTGAGAGAGGATAGGGGAAAAAATGGGTGTTTAACTGGGGAGAAAAAGGAACTCAAAAGGCTGAGCTGGTTTGATAAAGTACTCTGTCTCTTTCTCTAAGGGGGTCCTTTCATACAGGTCAGAAGCCAAGGAGGAGCATAGCCTGGAGAGGGCACTGGTCCAGTTGGAGGAGGAGCAGCAGAGGTAGAGTTAAAACCATATTATTCTGGATTTTCATAATGATGTGTGAAGAGATGAGGACAATCCGAGCAATTCTGTTTGTTTAACCTGGGGGACTGTGCAGAAGATGATGGCAGTGAGACTGAGTAGATAAACCTGAAATGAGAAATATTCTGACTCCATTATGTGGTGCCATTATGTGAACAGCATAGTGTGACAAGGTAATGGAGAGTGCCAAATGAATAACAGATTACTACTTCAAACTGAAAATTAAGCTTATTATATTGAGTGCTTTTTGGAATGAATGTGGTTTCTATTCTATTCAGGTTCATTTGCTGTGTCCAGCACTGTGTTGTCTGGGTTAGGGATGTAATAGTGTAGTCAATTAACTGATAAGCAAAAAAGTATAGGTTAATGCCATAAACTACATGCATTTTCCTCCCCCTGCCCTTTGCTAGTAAATTTTTTAGCAGGCTGGCCAGCAGCCCGGCTCAGTCTTGGCTTGCACCGGGCCCGGGACCTACGCCTGTTGTGGCTCTGAATTTAAAGTGTATTAGAAGCCAGGCAGGCAGGCTTATGCTGGGTCCAGGAGCTCAGACTCCCTCCCTGGAGAGGGGCTGCTGCCACCCAACGCTGCTGCCTCTCATTTAAGTAGGGAGATAATTACTGCAGTGGTCAGCATTTATGAAACATTGGAATATTTTTTTTCTGTTCTCATTAGGGATGTTAAATATCAGTTAATTGAATAGTCAATTAACCTCATGAATTCTTATTGATTACTTGACTATTCTATAGTCCTCAAGGGAGGCCGACAGCCAGTGCACCCCAGCCCCACTCCTGAGGAGCCCTCTGCCACTCTGCACTGCTACCTGTGTATCAGAGGCAGCAGCACAGGGCGATAGGCAGCTGGTCTGCAAAGGGAGCTGGTTTTTAAACTGGCTCCCCTTGCTCACCAGCTTCCATGCTGACCCCCTCTGAAAACCAGCTGCCCTTGTGGACATGCCGCCTGTTGCCCTGCGCTGCTGCCTCTGTATCAGAGGTAGCAACACAGAGTGGCAGGGAGGCTCCTCAGGAGTGGGGCTGGAGAGCACTGGCTGCTGGCCTCACCCCCGGGAACAATAGAATAGTTGAGTAACTGATAAGAATTTATAAGGTTAATCAACTATTTAATTAACCAATATTTAACATCCCGAGTCTGGGTGTCTTCCAGTAGTGTGTTTGGCAGTGTGACTAGTCTTTGTTACATTTTCTTCTTTCCTTTGTCTTGTCCTCTCCCCAGGAAAAACATGGTACTTGAATTTAAAAAAAAAACCCTCATATTTGTATATTTTCAGAATAAGTGGAAGAAGTGTGCCTGACACACTTGGGCTATGTCTACACTGTAGCCTTCTTCTGGAAAAGCTTACGCAAATGAAGCAGAGTGGAATAGTGCTGTGCTTCATTTGCATGATTAATTAGCAGCCATTTTTGCACAAGAGGCTTTTGTGTAAAAAGGAGCAGTGTAGATGGCTCCTTTTTGTGCAAAAACCCCCTTTTGCGCAAGAGCCATTCTTGAAAAAATGAGGAAGAACGGCTCTGGTGCAGGAGGGTTTTTTTGCGCAAAAAGGAGTTGTCTACACAGCTCCTTTTTGCACAAGAGGCTTTTGCGCAAAATGGCTGCTAATTAATTATGCAAATAAAGCACGATGATATTCCAATCCGCTCATCATTTGCATAAGCTTTTCTGGAAGAAGGCTACAGTGTACACATAGCCTTGGAGTGGAAAGGGATGATGCCTATGGTGATTTTTGGATCCTATGGGAGTTTATACTGCAATCTTAAACTGAGCTCCAAGAAAAGCTCTCTGTCTCTGTCTCTGTCTCTCTCTCTCTCTCTCTCTCTCTGTTCTTTACCCTGGTATTGAATAATTACATGCATTGGAGGGAGTGAGTTGTAGACTGTAGTTCTCATCTTGGTTTGGAGCACAAGGATAGTTGCTGTAGGAGGAGAAGAGGGCAGGGAGATAGAAAGTTTTTTAGGAGCAAAGAAACATAAATTTCATACAGAAGCAGCCGCTGCAGAGATACAAAGGTGGAGTGAAAGAAGGTCAGCGGGAAGACAGAACTGAATTGTGAAGTGTGAAGATTTGTGTAAGCTAAGAGAAGAAGGCTACAATCATTGAGAGCATGGATTTGTATCTTGGCAGTGGGGGTGGAGAGCAAAGGATGAAATTTGCAGATGGTAAGCGAGGGCATAATATGGTGAAGGACAGGATGCGTGGGGCAAGGAGAGGGGAGTCAACAATGGCAGGAGATTCAGAGATCTTGGAGGGAGGTCATCCCATCTTTCACTCTGGTGAGAAGGTCATGATAGTGTGACTCAGGAGTCTTGGTGGTGGTGGAGGAGGAATCTAAGAGTGTAGCCCAGAGATGTTACACTCTGATCCCAAGGTGATTTCATAGTTACAACTCTGGTGCAACTCAGATGTGCTCATCACTGTTCTTTGTACTCCTCAGATGTGAGAACCTAGCTGAAGTGAACACTCTGCTACGGGAGCACCTGACCAAGGCAAATGAGGTGAATACAGCTCTTAGAGAGGATGTGCGAAAACTAACAGCTGATTGGACAAGGGCCCGGGATGAACTGGAGCTCAAGGAGAGTGAATGGCGTATGGAACGAGAGGTAGGATTGGGATGAGGAGCAACGAGATGCAATACAGGAAAAATAAACACTAAATTCTCTCTTCCTCCAACCAAGACCATTTGTGGAAGTTATTGCAGTTTGGACTGTCCTATGCAGTGGCAAATAGACCCCTTACAGCAACAGATAAGAACAAGAGACCTCTATAGCCTAGGCTGAAAGCCAACTAACTTTATAAGCTCAAGCTGTAGAGGCTCCTATACGAAGCTCCAGAGGTCCCAGGTGCAAATCTTCCCAGAGGTGGTTACATAAGCACTAAAATCATTTAAAATGAAATACACAATAACGTAATAGGTCCTTATGTTCACTCACCAGAAGTTATAGTGTTGCTTTGCTGAAGGGAGAAACAGCTATGCCGGATGCTTCCCCCATGCATAACCATCTTTTTCCTATCTTATAATTGAAAATGGGAAGGGAGTAACAAGCTTATGACCCATATTGTGTTGTTTCCTTTTCCTGTAGGTAAAAAATATAAACCAGCCTGTACGAGGCTCAGGAAAGTAGTGAAGCAGACATAGGGTCTTCAAAGGAAAATCTCCAAGCTACTGGATCCCCAGAAAATGCTTGGGAATGCAGAAAAGACCAGCATGAATGAGCCTGTGGAGCATCTTGGGGGAAAATTGCTGGCTGCAGACCTGTAGTGTCTGGTCAGAGTCACAGAGCAAGTTAAGATGACTCCTGTAGGCAAAGCAGCTACTGGACTGAGGAGCTGACTCCTACAGGCACCAGCAGCAACCTGGGTTGATATCACAGCTGAACTCAAAATACTTATTCTGTGCCATTCTTTACTACATTATTAAATTGTTTGTAGTTGTAAAAAGATCTTGCCTTCAAGATACATGAGCTTCCCTGTCACACACACAAATATTATTGTGTGGACGGATGTCTCCACATACGATTAAAAGAAAAAGAAGAAATAGATGGATATAAATTAGCTATCAAAAAGTTTAGACTTGAAATCAGACAACAGTGTCTAAACAATAGAAGAGGGACGTTCTGAGATAGCCACCTAAGAGGAACAGTGGAGGTAAAACAAGTTTTCAATACTGAGCTTGTTAAGTCCATGGAGGGGATGGTATGAAGTACAGATGTAATAGTACAATTGATTAACCAATTAGCAAAAGCCTAAAGGTTAAGGTTATAGACTACATGCATTTCACCTCCACCCCTGCCAGTAAATTTATTAGCAGGCAGCAGCCCAGCTCAGTCCCAGCTTGCGTGGGGTCCAAGACCTACCTTTGTTGAAGTTCTGCATTTAAAGTGTATTAGGAACAGGGTGGGCGGGCAGCCACGCTCAGTTCTGGCTCACGCCGGGTCAAGGAGTTCAGACCCTCCCTAGACAGGGGCTGCTGCCACCCTGTGGTGCTGCCTCTTTATCAGAGAGAGCTGCACTGGGCACCAGGCAGCCAGTCCATGAGGGGAGCTGATTTTTAAACTGGCTCCCCTCATGGACCAGCTCCTGCCTGACACCCTGCGCTGCAGCCTCTGATACAGTAGCTGCTGACACCACACCTGGGGACTATAGAATAGTCAACTAAGCAATAAGAATTCGTGAGGTTACTCAGTTGTTCAATTAACCAATATTTAACATCCCTAGTTTGGGGTATGTATTGATGTTAGCTGGAAGAGTGGAGGGGATAAGATTATATTGGTAGAAAATGCTGATGAGGCAATGCTGTGCTGCTGGGTGGGGGCAGATATTAGCAAGCTCATTATGGATGCTGAGATTTGCGGGGAGAGAGACTGGGAGCTGAGCCCTGTCTTTGTTAGACCCTGACTCTTGGTTATTGCCTTGTTGGAGTTAGTTTTACATTTACTCTCGTAAAAGGTGCTAGATCAGGAGTTTTATAGACTGAAGAACTATGCATCTCCAGAACTGTTAGAACTCTGGTACCAGTGTTGCAGGTTTTCCTCTTGCCTGTATGCCTCACTCCTGATTCTGAGAGACTTGTGCCTGTCCTATGTCCTGTTGATAAATTACATAGCCAGTTGTTTGACCACACTTTGGTTCATTATTTTATTATGATATATGCTTGAGGGCAATGTCAGTTGGATTTATTAATACGGTATAAAAAAAAGGTTCTACACAGTACCAGTCTCCAAAGAGCAGTTTGGTGCAATGATGTTACATTCACTTTATGCAGAAGGTGTGCTTCCCAAGTTACATATTTCAGCTGTTGTTTACAGTAAAACTCCAGTTGTCCGGCATCCAGTGGTCTGACACTCCTGCTAGTCCGGCACCACCTGGAATCCGGAAGTGCTCCAGGCAGCCGGACAGTTGGAGCTGCTCTGCCCCAGGCTTCCCCGAGTCAGCCACTGGTCAGTTTCAGGAGCGGCTGACTTGGGGATGCCTGGGGCAGAGCAGCTGGGGTGCTGCTGGGTTGGTCCCACAGCACTGCCCCCCCATTCCTCCCCACCCCAGACCCCTCATAGCCCCCCCCTTCTGATAGTCCGTCATATCTGATAATCCGGCACCCCCTCGGTCCTAAAGGTGCTGGATTATTAGAAGTTTACTGTATATGATTTTTTACAATTACATACCCCTTTAAAGATCACTAAAATCCATTTAGTCAGTTTGTCTCAGTTCCTGACTTCCTGTTCTGTTTCTTCCATATCTTTTTGTTTTGGATGCTAGTGATCCATGAAGGTACTTCCCTCACTTACATTCATTCTATGTCTTAGTGTATCTTTATTTTGACAAGTTTTGTGTCTGCTTATGTAAAATGTTTACTTCAACAAATGGAAGGAGTTATGGAATGCTTAGCATAAATAAATGGGATTATGGGATAGTCCAGGTTTGGCTGTATCACTTGTTATGATATTGGTGCTTCATGCATACTAAAATAGATCTACATGGTGTGGATAATACCTATGATTAATATTGTATAAATATATATGCTAATCAGCATATAATCATCAGCACCCCTCAAGACTTGCTATGGGACATCTCTGTAGGGTTGTTAAGTGATTATTTTGGTAAAAGCTGACTGAGGTTTGGGCCTACTGTTAGTTGCGCTCTGGTGGTGGCCCTAGGAAAGCTACTCACTGTAAGTGGCCCATTCAGTCTTTGGCCTTTCTGCTGGAACTGCTGTCAGAGAAGTTCTCTCTCCTGGGGGAAAAAGGGCACTTCATATGGCATGAGCGGTATGCAGTGGATCAGCATCATTTGGCTGAACTGCTATTGGCTTTTGTTTCTGCACATTTAGTTCTTTGACGGGTACTTCAGGTGTGAACATGATCGACTTATCAGCCTGTGGCGACAGGTGGTAACCTTCCGCCGTCACTTCCTGGAGATGAAGACTGCGACTGACAGGTGAGCAGATATGGAACCTTAAGCTATTGAGGAAAAATGGGTGTTTCTCTTCACACCTTGTTCTGAGCCCTGGTGGCACTGGGCTTACAGTTAAAGTATGCATTGTTCCCTCTGATAGCTGGAAATGAATGTTCTGGCACTCCTCTTGGAAGACCTGGATTGCTTTAGGGATCTTATTCTCTGGTTTGGCAGATATGGGGTTCCACACAGAGATAGTGATGGGGATGGGTTAAGTTTGCTAGAGTACTGTGAAAGGTCCCTATAAGAATGAATTGCCTCATTAAAAAGTCACACTGCTCAGCAAAATGCCTGAAGCACACACCAGCTGTTCAATAAGAATGGAAAGTTTTGGCCTGGATTTTCAAAACTTCCTCAATGAGTTAAGTAGCCAAGTCCCAGAGACAGTCAGTGGAAGATAGGCATCTGATGCTCGTAGTCATTCCAGCAGATGGGTTTGATTTGTACCACTCCATTTCCATTTCCACTTCCTCTCTTGCTCCTCATCCTTCCCCTGTTATTTTAATAAAATCATGAAGGTTAGAGATGGGAATGATGTGATTGATTGATCTAGTCCTAGAGAGACTTGTTCATCTCCATGTGTATTTTTAGTACTCTCTGTTTTATAGCTGTAAATATCTGAATTGGCTTCCACAGCATCTCTTGGGAGACTATACTAAAGATGAGGACTAGATCCTCTTAAACTTATTTGAGCCAAATGCTAGGTTTGAGCATTCTAGAGCAGGGTAATGGAAGCATGCTGAGGACACTGCAGTTACAATAACTCAATAATCCTTTTTTATCATCAGTCCTTTTTTGCTGTGAACAGGAAGGCTGAGGAAAACAGGGTTTTTTTATAGTTATAGGGTTTCTTCCATGATATCTAAAAGGATTTCTTAATAATGTTAATTTTATGTCATTCTAGTTTTTTAATTAAAATGTTGCACAGTACCAAGTCATATGCCATAGGGAAGCTTATCTTTTCAGCATTATTTCCTTCATCAACCAAACTTTGTAATCTCATTTAAAAAAAGAACATGAAGTTAATTTGACAGGATCTGTTTTCCATAAACACATTGATTTGCAGTAATTGCATTAACCAGCTCCAATTCTTTGAGTTCTGTTGTCAGCTGTTCCATTTATCGTTGTTAAGGACTAATCGAATATGTGATAAGCAAATGCTTATTGGATAGTCGACAGCCCCCCCCCCCTTGCTGCCTCTATAAGGGAGAGGCAACAAGGGGAGGAAGGATGACCCAGGCTCCATGAGGTGCTGCTCTTTTGAAACGCAGCTGTGGCATTTCAAAGGGGCAGTGCCATGCAGAGTCTGGGATCAGCTGTGCAGCGCTGCCCCTTTGAAATGCTAAGGCAGCATTTCAAAGGATCAGCACCACCCTATCGAATAATCGTATAGTCAATGCAAAAATGCATTGATTACTCGATTAGTCAATTACACGATTCTTAACATCCTTAGTTCCATTTTCTTGCACAGGATCCATGTCAGGTTGACAGGCCTATAATTACTGATATTATTGGTACAACACTAGCTTTCTTCAGTCTTCTAGAACTTCCCCAGTGCTCCACAACTTACTGAAAATCAATATTAATGGTCTGCATGGTCTTCAGTTCTCAGGCTGAGAACTCTTGGATCAATTATCTGCACCTGCTGATTTAAAAATGTTTAACTTTAATACTGTCTGTTTAATATCCTCTAGAGATAACAGAGGAATGGCAAGAGTGTTGTTATACTATATGATGAGACTTCATCATCTGTTTTTCCTCAAATACCACACAGAAACTGTTGGGAGCTACATATAAGTGAGAAAAATCCCCTCACTGATCTGCCCTTACTGAGAAGCAGAAAAAAGAGAGACACTGGTTTCTCTCATGGAACTCTGGGTGCCTGCTCCCTCATGCTCCAGTCCTCCCAGGGAGGGAGCACAGAGGCCCAGGGCATCCCCTCAGGGCCATATTAATTCTTCTGAAGGCCTTGGGCTAGTAGATTTTGTGATGCTCTGGGGTGGGGCCAGAAATGAAGGGTTCCTTGTGTGTGAGGTGGCTGCTGGAAAGTGGGCTGGGAGCAGGGGTGCAGAAGTGGGCTGAGGGTGGGGATGCAGGGTCTGGGCAGGCAGTAGCGTGTAGGAGTGGTGTTCAAATGCAGGGTTTAGGAGGGTACAGGGGATTGCGGTGCTTACTTGGACCCGTTCCCATTTGTCAGGAGAGAATAGGTGGCTCTGTGGGATCGTGTGCTTGTAGGCACCTTCTCCCATTGTTCCCATTGGCCAGGATTCCCAGCCAATGGGAGTGAAGGAGTTGGAGTCTGCAGGAGAGCACGCGAACAGTGTGCTAGTTTTCTTCCACTGCCATTCTTCCAGCTGCGAGGAAGGGGGAATGACAGCCTGCAGAGCTGTTTCCTCTCCCCTTTCAGGTACTGTTGGCACTCATGCTTCAGCCACGTGGGAGGATGCTGAGGCTCGGAGACTCACTGAGGCACTGGAGGGCCAATGCTGGTTTGCCTCTCTGCGGGAGGAAGGCCTGAACCTTGCTAAGGGCCGGACTAAGGCGAGCCAGAGGCCAGATCTAGTCCATTGGCCATAGGTTCCCCATGCCTGCCTTAGATACTTATCTGGCCCTTTACAGCACTCCTGTGAAGCAGAGAAGTGATGTTATTCCCATTTTGCAAATGGGGACCTGAGACACAGGAAATCTGTGGCACATCTGTGAATGAAAGATGGGTCTCTTAGACTAGCTAGTCCTAGACAGCACACTGTAACCACTGAACCATCTTTCTACCTTAGTGGATTAAAAAACAGATCACCGATCCTCTTAAGTGAGGTATTGTTTATAACTGGCAAGTTACTGCTCTGTAATTTTCTCACTCATGGGTGTGATCTTCCCACTCCCTGAACTCAGCAAGTTACAGAGCCATAAAGCACCATTGTAAACAAGCTCCTAGTGCAATTAGTGATACCCCTTATGCAGGTAGTTTACCTAGAGCACAGGGAGAAAACTCTCTCACGACTCTCTTGTTGTTACATGCTGCCTCGGAAGTGCTTTAAACTTGAACATATAGGCAAAGTTTGAGATGGCTGAATATCTTTAGAAAATGTGAATACTGATCCTTGACAAAGGGTTGTAATTGTCATGTGTGACGTTTAAAAAGTGATTTTGCAGATGTTCTTGAGGGTCTATTTTATTGTTTTGTTTTACTTCAGGGACTTGTCAGCAATGAAGGCAGACCAGATAAAACTTTCTGGATCAATACTTGTCAGCTGCTTCCATCTAAGTTCTGGTACACAGTACTGGGAATCTAACATTTTGGAAAGATCTGCTCTGAGGGATCAGACACAGCAGCTTTGTGCCAGAGCTCAGGAGATGGAGAAGGAAGTATACCTGAAAACCCAAGAAGTGATGCGCTTGCAGGTCAAAGGGGATGTAGAGAAAGAGGAGCTTCAGCTCAGGTAAATTAGTCTTAAAAAACCACAAACCTTTGGGGAATGTTTCTCACTATCACAGAGGCCTTTGGATTCAATCTGCATTATCCTTCAAAGCATAGCCACATTGTATCAAGCTCGTTTTTTCGAAAGGGTATCTATTGTTGGCTTTAAAAATATAGGCATCGATTACTTGGAGAGGAGCCTGAATGTAAAGAAAATGGGCTAAGTGAAATGAAGCTGTGAGTAATGGGGTTTTCTTAGAGTGTGGGAGGCAGAGCTGGGTTTACAGTTACAGTAGAACCTCAGAGTTACAAACACCTGAGTTACAAACTGACCGCTCAAGCACTTGCCTCATTTGGAGCTTGGAATAGACAATCAAGCAGCAGCAGAGATCCCCTGCACCAAAAGACAAATACAGTACAGAACTATATTAAGCTATTGGGGGGAGGGGGGAAGGAAACTGTTAAAAAAAAGACTTGACAAAGTAAAAAGCTATTTCTGTGCTTGCTTCATTTAAATGTAGATGGTTAAAAGCAGCATTTTTATTTTGCATATTAGTTTCAAAACTACGTTAAATCCACTGACTTCAGTTGTAAACTTTTGATAAAACAACCCTAATATTTTGTTTAGAATTATGAACAACCTCCAATCCTGAGGTGTTTGTAACTCTGAGGTTCTACTGTAGTTTAAGTAGTTGGAGAGAAATGCTGAGTTTTATAAAAGGACTGGTTCTGTCCCCTATGCCGGTGGACTGTTATATGAGCCAGACCTACGCCACAAGGAGCTGATGAGACCATCTACACAGAGCAGATGCTGCATGAGGCTTCTACTTGTTCTGACCCCTTGCAAGCTCAGGTGCAGAGGGTCATGTTAGGGGCACTTACACAGTGCTCAACGTTACAGGGTTCCTGGACTGTGATACAGCCTGTAATCAGCATTCTATGGGGCTGGTGTAACTTACTATTCCAGCCCACAGAGAGACTCAGAATTCTTAAGGCCCAAAGGTGGCTTAAAGCCATCTTTGTCCTCTCCCTGTGGGCTGAGTATGTGGTGTATCTCATGGAGTTGCTGCACATATCTTATATAGCTGATGGTGAGCTAAGTTTTTGGAATATTGCCCGGACTTTTTTCTTCTCAGGGTGATGGAGCTCTCAGCCTTGCTGGCGCAGTCCCAGAAGCAGAATGAGGAGAAAGAAAAGACTGTGAAGACACTTAGTGACACGATGGAGATTCTGGTGTGTGAGAAATTTGTGGATAAGGAACCTAGCATCTATTGGGTTTGAGTTGCTTTTTCCCTCCAGCCCCAAGATGTTGAGGCTTTCTCCATATATGGGACCCTAAGGCATTTGGCCTAAAATGTGTTATATGTTTGGCAACTGTCAACTGAAGGCTGGCAGTAGCAGGGGAACTGTGTGCACATCTAATTCAGCATCAGAGAGTTTGTAATGGAACATTCCATCTCAGGCACTTGTAATCCTATTAGGTCACCAGGGACCACTAGCTGTCATGTCAAAGCCTGTGATGGCTTCTCTATTTATCCAGAATGAGTTTCTGGCTTCTCTCATACAGAGTTATCGTATGTTCACGTTGAACTTGGTGTCCTTGTTAGTTTCTGCAGAGAACATTTGGATTTGGATTGAATGGCCATGAAGAATAATCATAGAATAGAATATGAGAACTGGAAGTGACCTTGAGAGCACTGGTACACAGCACTGGGAATCTAACATTATGGAAAGATTTGCTCTGAGGGATCAGACACAGCAGTTTTGTGTTTGCTCACGGCTAGACCGTCCCTGATAGATGTCTGTCTAACCTGCTCTTAAATATCTCCAGAGTTGGAGATTCCACAACCTCCCTAGGCAATTTATTCCAATGTTGAACCACCCAGACAGGAATTTTTCCTAATGTCCAACCTAAACCTTCCTTGCTGCAGTTTAAGCCCATTGTTTCCTGTCCTATCATCAGAGGCAGATTTTAGACAAAGAACAATTTTTATCCCTCCTCCTTGTAACACCTTTTTAGATACCGTGAAAAGAGCAGGTGGAATACAGCAGGTTAAAGGGCTTCGTGGAAGGGGAGAGAGGCAGCTCTTGCAGAAAGAGGCAGCAATCCTGGCTAATTAGGGGCAGCTGAGACAGGGCAACTGCGACTCAATTAAGGTCAAGGTGAAGCTGATTGGAGCTGCCACCAGGCCTCTTTTAAAAACCCT